TGAACTGCAGCAGATCATCTTGACCATGTCTACATGCCTAAATGCATTGAATTGCTGCCATATGATTGGCTGATAAAAAAAAATTGCGATACGAGCAGTGACAGGTGCACCTAATAAATTGTATATTATGTTTTAACATTATATGCTTAATATTTAATTAAAACATTCAAATGTCTCTTATTGAAATAGGCTAACAAGATTTGAAAGATGAGATTTGCAGTATCTTGTACTGTCAATTTCAATGAAATTATACACATACATACTCACAATTTTTTATTTTACCCACACTTTTTAAAGTTTATTTCATCTTAACCCATTTATACTTGACAGACTCTTATCAGGAAATTAAATCATTATACCAGCACATTTCATATGGATTTTACAAATATATTTAAAATGTTTAGCAACACAAGACTTGATTACAGGCCCGGATTAAGAACTCAGGGGCCCCTGGGCACATTGTCTTGTAAGGCCCCGTACCTGGCCGCACCCCTATAGTTGAATTTAAAAAATAAGAATAATGTAATATTTTTTAAATAAAATGAATCATATATATAATTTTTTAAAGGGTATTTTATTGTATTGCTTTTACAAACGTATTAAGCATATTATTGGCATGGCATATAACACACAATGCTTCTCCAATCCAGTTCTATGAATCTGAGTCTTTCATAATACACAAACTTATTAATGATTTACTGTCTCTCTCCTCCTCTCCCTGGATTTTCTCTACTCTTCTCGTGGTGAAGACTTTATTATAAACTTAAAAGTATCCGAAATCACACACACTATACCTCTTCCCTCCCGTCTCTCTCTTCTTCAGGGCCTTTCTCCTCTCTCTCTCTCTCTCTCTCTCTCTCTTTCTCTCTTTCTTCCTCTCCCTATCTCTGGCCCCCTTTTTTTTAGACAGTCTCTCACACGATGAATCCAGTCCGCGCTGTGCTGCCGTTAGCCTCCTCCGCCTGGTTAATGCTAGCTACTTATTTAACGTTACCATAACGTATTCTTCTGTACCCTTATTTTCCTGATCATGGGTCTGTTTGAAGAAGGTGTGTTTGGAAAATGCCTCAATAAAGATGCCTCCTCTCCTCTTTCTCTCGCGATTGGTAAATCCACTTGTTCACTCATTTTTGATCTATGACAAATACTAACGTTACACTACAGTCCACTCAGTTAAGTGCGGGTTATTTCAAAACTAATGTGTCCGTGCTTGACCAATTACAGCATTCTGTTTAGTTAAAGAAAGAAAGGCAATTTATATATAATACTACTATTAATATGTGATAGCTATTTTTTTGCTCAGAGGAAATACAGTAGTCTGAGCTATATCGTTTTTATAGAGAGGGAGGCACCTTTATTAAGGCTAAACATTATTAAATACCTACGAGGCACTTGTGACTTTATATTACATTTGCGTTATTTTTCAAAAATGTTCCCCCTCGCAGGGCCCCTAGTGCACACGGGCCCCTGGGCCTGTGCCCATAAGGCCCATTGGTTAATCCAGCCCTGCTTGATTAGCATTCTAGTAAATAAACAACAACAAATTAAACTCTATACTTGTAGAATATAGCTCCTTTACTTTTTGGTTCTCGTGAGGAAAACAGAAAAATATTCTGTTTAAACCATGAATGAATGAAGTACTTTGAAACTGTAAAGATGCAGAATGTTGCCTGTGAGGATTGATGCCTCATTCACAATAGCAGCGACTTTGTAGCTGTCTGTCGCTCTGGGTGGCAACCTGCTGCAAACAGGTCTGTGTAGGTCTACAGCACTGATAATGCAACCAGCCTCTGAGCGAGCAGAGAAAGGATCATGTGAGCTCTACTGGTGCTCCTATTGGCTCAAGAAAGTCGCTCTTCATTTGCATAAAGTTGAAGGATTAACTCGTCGTCGGTTGTTGTTACTCGCGTGGATGAAGGTCGCTGAAAGTAGCTCGCTCTCCGTTGAAATGAACGGTCGATTGTTGCTTTGCCATTGCGAGTCGCTCATAGTGTGAATGAGGATTTAGGTTGGGTTGAGGGAAGAAGACAATATACAGTTAGTACAGTCTGAAAAGCAAGCATTAAGTCTATGGGAATTCGCCATGAAGATAGCAGTACAAGTGTGTGCGTGTGGGTGTGCGCACTTGTATAAATGTGTATGGGTATATAACGGTAGGATGGTTTGTGAGGACCCTTTACTTCTGTCGTTATAAACCCAAAACATATTAAATTGTGACGTTCTTAATTTGCCAGAAGGGTAAGAGTAAGGGGGTCTATATATAAAAATGTATACAAATGTCTATAGAGTGTTCCAGTGAACTGCGTGTGTGTGTGTGTGTGTGTGTGTGTGTGTGTGTGTGTGTGTGTGTGTGTGTGTGTGTCATGAGGCTCTCAGTTCACTCAGTTTTCCTCTCCTGCACGCCCCATTGATCTGGGTAAATGCCCACCCAGTCTCTGCCGGCTGAGGAAATGACTGATGAGTGTTTGTTTGTGTCGCCGCCAGGCCAGTGTGCCGGTTAGACAAGACATCCAAATAAACAGCTGATTTCAGATGATGACTTCACAAAACCTTCATCATTTAATAATAATAATACATTTTATTTATAATGTGCTTTTCTTAAACCCAAAGCGCTACAACAACTGAGAAAATCAAACATGCAATGAAAAAAAAGGATTCAACATAGAAAAATAATAAAAATAAATAAATAAAAATTCACAAATAATAAATTCACACTTGATTGCATTGAATGGCTGACAATGTGCAAATGGAGCATCTGGGTTGGATTTTTATTACATAAAATGTGACTTACTGAACTCGTAATTTATTTATCATTTTTTGGGGGGTTGGGGGGGGGGGGGTTGCAGATATTTAAGAAACTTGCTAAATTAACATTTGTGTGCATCATTTTGTCATTATCCTTTGAATAGAAAGTTAGAATAACAGCATTTTTGTAACATTCTTCATATATTTACTCTTCCTTTTGATTAATTGCATGCATTCTTACAATAAATCCTATTTGTAGATTTTGCTATTAATAGCAGTACAACACAAGCTTGTCCTGTCACCTGCTACTATAAAAAATGCTGCCTCCATCTGTTTTTCTTTCCTTTCTTTAATGGGCACCTATGATGAAAATCTTTTTTTGTGAGCTGTTTGTGTGTCTACAGTCATGTTGGAGTGATATAAACCCAACAAGTTTTTATTTTTATTTTTTATTTTTATTTTTTTACATTTCCTGACCTTAAAATAGGATCCAAATCCCAGTGATTTTGAGGCCCACCGCAACGTGACGCAGGAGTGCAATTTTCCCCACCCACTGAATTTATTGACAGGCATTATGTTTCCATAAAACACGTATAAAACAGAACATTTCTTGCAAAGAAACTGGGATTTAAATTTCTGCTCCAACTTTCTGTGATTTTTATAAGTTTTATAAGTTTAAAATGTTTTTAAAACAGAGCATGTTTGTAATAAAGAGAGTAAAATCATTATTTAATTCGTAACCACTATAATCACCATGGCCGCAAAGGGTCAGTAAACGTGTGTGTGTGCGTGCATGCGTATGTGTGTACTGGCATTTGTGTGAGACTCATCATTTCAGAATAGCTTGAATAAACTCCACAACATGAAATAAACTTACTTGGTATTTTTGACTAATGAGCTGTATTTCAGCTTCGTCTATGTCTGTCTAATCTATCACTGACTGCTGTTTATCTGATGTAACGCAGGAGACACAAGCCCCTTTCACACATACAGACCTTTCTAAAAAAATTACCTTTTTGAAAATATTAAAAATTTTGAACGCAGAAGGAAGATTGCCAGAAAGTGCGTTCACGTCTAGAACATGCTGACATAAGACGTCTACTTTAGCCAATCAGAACACTTGGACACATTCACATTTGCGCTGATTATGAAAATAAAAGCCTTTGAATATTTTCCAGATGCATTTAACTGCTAGATGTTTGTCAGATAACATTTCAATGTTCCTTCTTAATGCCAACTGTAAAAATAATTATCGATAAGATGCTTATGATAAACCGCTGTTTGTGTCAAGCTCTGCTTCCTTCAGTTGCGTGACGCGTTGCGCTTGCACGTGAAGCAGCCGGTGAGCACCAGCACAAACACATATTATGTACATCTTGACATGCAAAAGTGTTTCTCCATGTGATTTCATCGAAGTTGTTCACAATACTGATCTATCCACAGAGTTTGTAATGTAGTCAAATGTTTTCAAATACAAGCGCAGCCGTTTAGAGGTCATTTCTGGGTAATGATGTCAGAATTTACCGGTGTTTTGGAATGGATGTATGAATGGTCTTTTCCGGAAAAATTCTGTATCTTCTGTGCCTGTGTGAATTGTGCTTTTTTAAATTTACCGCTAAAGTCGTTCTGGATATATACCGATATCACTGTTTGAATGGTGTTATTGACATGCACATGGAAACAGTGGATGGGGAGCAGCAGCTCATTTACATTTAAAGCCACAGGCTACAAAAACAGCTACAATGTACTCAGACACCAAAATGGTCAGATTCTGGAGGCTATAATGAATTATTATATTTATTTTGAGCTGAAACTTTACAGACACATTCAGAAGACACCTAGGGTTTATCTTACATATTGTAAAAGGGATAAAATAGGTGCCCTTTAATGCAAAGCTTAATCAGCAGCCATTTCATTTTCACTTTCAAAATAGGTTTAAGTTATATTATTAGTTATATTAAGTAACAAAAAGGCTTTTAATTGTTAGTTAACAATTAATAACCATGTTCAATGACCATTTCCTAATGTTATCTACTTTGAAAACAATTGCTGTAAAAATGTTTTCCATCATTCATTATTTCACTGTCCTTTGGTGAACAAAGTAAAACAAAAACTACATTTTTGTTCTTTTTGATAAATTGCATGCCTTAGAAAAAAATCCTATCAGAAAGTTTTTACTATTGATACAAAAACAACATAAGCTTGTCATGTCTCCTGTCACTATTAAAATGCTGCCTCCATCTGTTTTCCCTCAGGTGAAGACACATTTCTGCACACAGGAGGAGGAGGAGGAAGAGGAAGTGATGTCAGAGTGATGTCAGTGCGCCTGCCGTCTGTCAAGCAGGATCAGGAGTCCGTCAGCCTCAGCTCTGTGGAAGGAGACACAGACTCTTCTGCTAATGATGTGTTTTAACAACGACGACCCCGTCAAACCTCCGAGATGGGAATCTGCTAAGTGCCTGGAGACGTTCATAGCCCTACATTATTCACATCACAGCTGGACGTCAGTCAGTGCAAGAGATATAATTAACCTGATGTTTCTTGCTGCGCCGTGAAATCAAACTCTATGTGCTGTCGCATGCTGTTTGATTGTGTTTTTAAACAAATAAATGCTGCATTACAAAGCACCTGTACTCAGGTTTGGGTTACTGCATTTACATTTTCATTTAGCAGAAACTTTGCTCCAAAGTAACTTACAATTGAATTTCCACAGGATATTTCCCAAATATTTCCCATATGATGTTTAACAGAGCAAGGATTTCTTCACAGTATTTTCTTTAGCTCACCACTGTCCTTACCAGCACCCACATTTGTGTACATGGCCTACTGATCCACAATCTAGGGAGCTGATTGAGACACATCCTTGGTTTTGGTAAGCCTATTTCTGCCTGTAAAGTGTTCTATATCTGCTTCACCGACCAATGTCTGTTTCTGAAAGATGGCTGTCACTCCAAATATACTGAACACTGCATATTTTGAGAATGTTTACAGAATTTGCATGCTGTGCTGCTAGTGTGGCTAGTTTCACGGGTCTTTCATGCAGAGAGATCTAATCAGTTCTTTGGGTAATTATGCATTGAGACGTTCAGACGTCCTAACACATCTTTATATAAGTTCAGTATTGTTGTTGCAGATGAAATATAACACAGATAACGTGATTTAAAGATTTTCCAGTGGGCTAGATATTGACTCAGTCATTCAAACATCTTTACCGAAGCCTCTCTACTTGACGGTTGATCTCACGCGTCCATCATGTTTGTAGTTTATTTACACTTTTCACATGCGCTTGTAGTTCTAATTGAATTCACATCCAACGCGCAATGTATCGTGGGCCATATCAGCGGTTAGAGTATGGACGGTTCTGCACTTTAATTTTTTACCGGAAATAGCAAACCATCCGGGAAGCTCTGGCATACTCTTTTCAACATACTATGGTTTGGGACATACTAATTCTATTTTCAAGTACTATTTAGGACAGATAGTATGCGGATTGCATACTTGTCAAGATTGGGATGTGAAAATAAGGGATATACCCACCATAATAAGAGATCTCCCCAGTTAAATGGTCAGTAATATGTTTTAAAATTATTATTAATAAAGGAAATCTAAATATATAGCATCAAATACAATAGCAAACAGTCCAGCTTATTAAAATTAGCTATTATAATGAAATATAATCAAGCTATCAAACTCATTAGCCATTTCTCGACTGTATAACTTACACATTCTGATTAAAGAGCAACGAATGAATCTCTCATTTATTAACATTTTTTTTATTACATTAAATAAGAGGTGTCACTTTAAAAATGCACACATCTAATGTTATAATGAACGCATTCGACTGCTTTCCTTACATTTTATGCTCATTTAAGACGAAATTAGTTTTGTTTGGGGAAAAAAACCCACCAAGATCGTCATCCTTAAATGTTATTATTATTAATTATGTGTGTATGTCTGTTTAAACACGCACCCAAAAGCCAGACTTTCTCTCCACTTCAAATCGCGTGTACAGAATCCGTTTGGGAAACAGCATATGTTTATCACTATGGTGCACGTCAGCTGACAGTCAGGCACCATCATATGACTGTTTGAGGATTGTATAGGATGGGCGACGGCACCTGTAATAAAAAAAAAATGGAATCGCGCCGTTTTTTTATATTTATTTTTAAGTGTTTTCATTCCTAAACAAAGCGAAAGCACAGAAGACTCACGTTTTAGAGCAAGGGGTGACCCCTGGTGGTTCGGCGGTATGGGTTGCGTATAGGGAGGCTCGGCTGTTCAGATAAAAACTGAAAATATGGGAGAAATATGGGAAAATACCTTTATGGGAAGATGGCGGGATAGAACAGTAAAATACGGGAGAATCCCGGGAAAAACGGGAGGGTTGACAGGTATGGGATTGGGACTCAGCTAATGTCTTCCCCGGGTGCCCGACCACTTTGCGCATGTGCAGCCACCACTGTGCATAAAATGCTGCACATGACCTTTTTGGCCCCCTTTGCTTCCCGTAGCCGCTATTGCCCAACCCGGAAGCCAGACGCAACGAGACGGACAAACGCAAATGGACACACAGGTAAGACAAATATGCGATGTGCTATGGTGTGTCAGAATATGTAAGCATTAATGGAGTGTATGATGTGTTTGTGTGTATGTGTTCCTGTAACAGTGCAATTTACCGTGTGCACCCGGTAGATCGGCTGGTGAAGTGAAGATAAGTTATGTGTGTATTATTAATATTTTATAAAATATTCCAGTTTTGAATATAAATTTGATTCAAATTTTTGGATTGAAACAGCTTTTATCATTGACGGTTTTCACAAAGAACAGACCAATCGTTACACTATAAAAAAAATGCCTGAAAAGTATATAAAGGCTCCGCCCTCTTATTGAAAGAATCAGCTCATTTGCATTTAAAGGAATATGCACACAAAAATGCACTAAAATAAGTGTTGCATGCAGAACTGTTGCAAACAATTTATTTGTGTTGAATTTAAACAAACAAATTAAGTTTAATAATGTTCAACTTAATTTGTTTGTTTAAATTTAACACAAATAAATTGTTTACAAACACTTAACAAATGAGTAAATCCAAGGAATCATCTCTGAATAATTTTTTTCAGTGTGGTGCTTTTGCTCACAACCAAATATGAACAAATTTAACAAGCAATAATACATGATCTGTGGCTTATTTTAAGCTGAAACTTCACAGACACATTGTGCGGACACCAGAGATTTATTTCACATCTTATTAATAAGGGCATGATATGTCCCCTTTAATTGAACTGTAGATAGTTTTGTCCCATTTCTCCACAGGGTGACGTCAGATCTGGTGTTCTTTCAGGCTGTTCCCTGTCATGGTAATGGCAGCACAGTGCATTACTCCACATCATTAGTCTCAGACTGCCGTTTCTCCCATTACAGGGTGCAGATAGAGAGAGATTGCGCTATCAGATGCTGCTTTGCACTGTCCTGCACTGATGATGCCTGTCTAATAAGCATCCTGTTTCCTTTTCAGCACTCAAGACATGATAAAGTCTGGGAGAGGGAGTGGAAGCAGACTTCAGACATTCGCCATCATGTCTGGTCCTCTTTACAGCTCATTCTGGCCTAGAATTTCCCACATTCTGGCTAAATGTAAATGTATGTTTACATTTATTCATTAACAAATGAGGATTTAACAACCACTTAATATCTAGAGAGAGCATCAATTTATAGAAGTTTGTTTAGGAGTTTGTTTTGTTTTTCACACGGATACAGATGTACATGTAAAAACATTCAGTTGGAGTCAAAATGATTAGACCTCCTGTGTATATTTTTTCTTTTTCAAATATTTCCCAAATGATTTTTAACAAAACAAGGAAATTTTCACAGCATTTCCTATAGTATTTCCTCTGGAGAAAGTCTTTTTTTTCCATTTCCATCTGTTTTTACATTAATGTGACAGTTGGATTTAAGGTTAGGGTAGGGGTAGACTTTAATAAAATACAATTAATGAGAAATTTAATAAATAGTATGAATAATTCTCGTTAATTTCCGGCTGCAGCCGTATGTGATCTGTAACTGATTGACTGTGGATGGATGATAACAGCCTTCTGAGCCTACTAGTAGGCCCCTACTGGCCCATTTCTATCAGCAGATAACCACTGATAAAGCCCATTTAATTGAGTGATAATATTCGAATCGGCTGGTTTTAGTGGGTGTTGATAAATCATTGTAAAAATATATGATAGCAATTATATTATGCTTTTAAAAACAGGACACCTTTTTTTATATAAAAATAAACAAATTTAAAATGAATTAAAAAATGTAATCTATTGCATAAAAAAAATTCATTGGATATACAATTTTTATACCTTCAAAAGGTTGCAAACAATATACTGTACACTTTTAATATATATATATATATATATATATATATATATATATATATATATATATATATATATATATATATATATATATATATATATATATTATATTATATTATATTATATATATACAGTTGAAGTCAGAATTATTAGCCCCCTTCAATTTTTTTTCTTGTTTTTTAAGTATTTTCCCAAAGGATGTTTAACAGAGCAAGGAAATTTTAACAGTATGTCTGATAATATTTTTTCTTCTAAAAAAAAGTCTTATTTGTTTTGTTTCAGCTAGAATAAAAGCAGTTTTTAATTTTTTAAAAGCCATTTTAGGGACAAAATTATTAGCCCCTTTAAGCTATTTTTTCCCCATAGTCTACAGAACAATCTACTGTTATACAATGACTTGCCTGATTACCCTAACCTGCCTAGTTAACTTAATTAACCTAGTTAAACCTTTAAATGTCACTTTAAGCTGTATAGAAGTGTCTTGAAAAATATTTAGTAAAATAATATTTACTGTCATCTTGGCAAAGATAAAAGAAATCAGTTTTTAGAAATGAGTTATTAAAACAAATTAGAAATGTTTTGAAAAAATCTCCCAGTTAAACACAAATTGGGGAAAAAAATAAACAAGCGGTCTAATAATTAAGGGGGGCTAAAAATTCTGACTTCAACTTTTTATATATATATATATATATATATATATATATATATATATATATATATATATATATGTGTGTGTGTGTGTGTGTGTGTGTTTGTGTTTGTGTTTGTGAGAGAGACCTGAATTTAAGCAAACTAATTAAATGTTGTAACGTTCAAATTTGTGTTTAAATTCAGCCCATATAAATTGTTTCCAACCACTTACCTTAAAATATATAGTAAATACAATTAATCATTTGTTTCAGTGTGTTTCGATGCCTGAAAACCCTCTTCTTCGACAGACATACACAGTGTGCATCATACTGACAGTATATGTAGTCTGTGAGTGCATCATCTGAGACTTTAATGGAAGTATCTTGATCCATCTTGACCGTAGTGTATAGGAACTCCCAGTAGATTGTGTTCAAAAATACCGTAACAACCAAAAGCATTGTTGTTTTCAGTCTTTTAT